AGTGCAGCCTCGGGGGGAGCCTCTGCGTTGCCCTGAGCCTCCGTTCGGGGAGTGAGCTCCAGAAAAACCCCAGCAGGACGCCGGGGACGTGAACCTTCCAGGCGACCGCGGAGCTCCAGGGCTCCGCTGAGGTCTGAACGGAGCTCGGTACATCTGAACAGATTAAAAATGCAGAACTGACCCAGTGGTTTCGATTCTTGTAAGACCACCATAACAACAAAACACGGAACCGGAAACGGAAACGCACGCGCCCACTCCTGCAGACTGCAGCCCCGCCTACCGGCCGTCGGAGTCACTGAATTTAGTTTTGACGCCTATTTTATTAACAACCGTGTGTGAATACAACACCTATGTAAACAAACGAAACATAGCAGATATACCGGCATAATAAATAATCTATTTAATAAAAAAAATGGAGAATAAGTGTGACCGTTGTCTCTGTAACATGTTTTTTTTTCTCTCTCGAGAACCAGATCAGACTGGGTCAGGTCAGGTGAAGTTGACTACAACCTCCAGCAGGCTACTGATCACAGGTGGCTCTGTTGTGTGACTGAAGGCCTGATCAGTGTCAGAGTTCTATAGTAGAATAATCATATTTTGTTTGAATTTGACTTTGTTATCAGCAGGTGTTTCAGTCTCTAGTTGTTTGTATGATTCAAACAAACTTGTTTATCACTTTAGTTAATCAGAGTTATTGATGTATTGAATCATGGTGAGCATGATTTGAGTGGTGACTGACACATTTGTTTTCCTTTTAAAATCTTCATCCTGAAGTTCAACTGAAAGATGCGAAAACAGGTGAGTTTATTTTAAAGTTCAGTTTTAAAACATTTCAGTTTATTGACTGTTTTCTGTGCTAACTGTCACATTTAGGTATAATGTTGAAACCAACTGAAATCTGTACAAATCATGAAGCCAAGACTATAATCAGAATCTGCTTTATTGGCCAGGTGTGTCAGACACACAAGGAATTTGACTCTGGTAAATCGGTCTCAGTGTGTATGTACATATTCCCATGTAAGGGGAAAGTAAACAGTAAACCAGCATAAGGCTGTGTAAGAGAACAAAATAAGCAGTATTAAGCAACAAACAGTGCAAACAATGCAAAATAAGCAGTATAAACAGACGGTAAACAATGCAGACAGATGAGGAATGCTCATTTTGAAATGAGATACGATAAAAATAGAGTACTTAAAACTAGAGACCTGTACGAATCTGTATGAGTTATATTTACAGGTATTTCACTGAGGGATGTTGTCCAGTCATACTGTCGTCAGTTAAGTGTCCAGTGTAAGAAACTGTCCCTGTGCCTGGTTGTCTTGGTGCACAGCGACCTGTAACGCCATCCAGAGGGGAGGAGCTCAAACGGATTGTGTCCAGGGTGTGAAGGGTCTGCAGTGATCCTCTCCACCCTCCTTTTGACCCGTGAGGTGTACCGGTCCTCCATGGAGGACAGGCTCACACCAATGACCTTTTCTGCAGACCTGACTGTCTGCTGAAATCTGTACTTGTCCTGTTTGGTTGCTGAGCCAGAACAGAGAACAGACTTGATGATAGACTCGATAAGTCTGTAAACTGTAGAAATCTTATATTGAACATTTTGTTTTTCAACAGGCCACATGAGTTTTGTCAAACATATTTACAATGTATAGTTTAATAAATTACTTTATTGACACAGAAGTAATCAGTCTGAAGCTGTAATGGATTAGCTTGCCCTCTGCGGGGCGCTGCTGTAGTTTCCATTTAAAAAGAGCTCCTTACAAATTAAAACTTTACTTTCTTATATATTACATAATATAAAGTGGTCTTATTATTTTTGGAAACATTGTCATTTTTACACAATTTCTCAGTAACATCTGGGAAATAAATGAAAAGGTTTCATTCTAGAAATGATTTCATAGTTTGTGCTTCACTTTCCTTAGTGAGAAAGCACTCCAATGTGAAATGATTAGCACATAACATACAACATTTTAGGGATACTTTAGGAACATTTCCACAATAAATATATGATAGCCACTGTGTCTTTTCTAGTACTGAGGATGGAAGTAGATAGACACTTTTGTGCTCATTTGTGCAACCAACAACTGATCAGAATCTATGCAACATGTTTTGCATAGTATGTGACCTTTAACAAAGCTTATACATGAAACCGGAAGGTGATTATACTGGCTGCTGTTTAACAAAATAAGAGCCCTAAAGCCCTGAAGTTTGGATCACCAGCTGATCGATCAGGGGTCAGAGGTCATCTTTGTGCTGATAAAAACCATCACATTGATCCAAAGTCAGCAAGAAGTGTCTCATAATAAACTTTACACACACTCACACAGAGAGAGGAGAAATGTTTACGTGACATAATCACACAGCTCCTTTTCATCAGTTTACTCAATAAATCAGTGCATTTAATGCATAAAACAACCAGAAATGTAAGATTTCTATCAGCACAGATTGGCAAAGGAAACACTTGAGTCACAAATTGTTTGCACAACATTCTGGAACCCTAACCTGACCACTGTGCCTGTAAATAAGTAGTCCAGAGCAGCAGTACACAACTCTTCACAAATATGTTGTAAATATGATGCTGAACCAGACACCGTGGACATGATAAAAATGAAGAAGTTCAGATACAAACTGTTCGCAGCAGCTGGAGTTTGTTCAGGTTATACATTTATAATGAACTGGATGAATAATGAAACCTGTGTTCCTGTGTCCACCATGAAACACCTGAACGACATGGAACAGGTTGGTACTGGGGGTTCACCAGTGCCATGCCAGTTCCTGTTTCTGCCTGTGGCTTAGATGAAGCACCTGTTCCTCCTGTGGGTTGAGGCTGATTCCACCACCTCTGCTTCCGTTCCCTGGTGGCTTAATAACCTTGACGCTGCTGCCTCTGGTCCTGTTCCCAGGTGGGTCCAGGGTGACCTCGATGCCTCTGGTCCTGTTCCCGGGTGGGTGGTCGAGGGTGATGCCACTGCCTCTGGTCCTGTTCCCAGGTGGGTCCAGGGTTATGCCACTGCTTCTGGTCCTGTTCCCATGTGGGTGGACGACCTCGATGCCACTGCCTCCGGTCCTGTTCCCAGGTGGGTTGAGGATGACGCCACTGCCTCTGGTCCTGTTCCCTGGTGGGTTGATGACCTCGATGCCAGTGCCTTAGTTCCTGCTTCCTGGTGGGTTGAGGGAGACGTACTGCCTCTGTTCCTGCTCTCCAGTGGGTCGAGTGTGATGCCACCACTTCTTTTCCTGTTTCCAAGTGGGTTGATGATGATGATGACATCACAGTTCCTGTTCTGTAGTGGGTCAACAAGGATGTCCTTACCATTGGTTCTGTTCCCCAGTGGGTTAATGACAACTTCCTACTACCTGCTCCTCAGGGGTCTGATGATGACAATACCCCTTCTCCTGTACCTGAGCCTGCCAGTGAGTTGGCTGGCACTGCTGACCCCACACCTATCTCTGTGTTAACCTCGCTGGCTGACGCCCAGTCTACTCACTCTCTGGAGGAATTCTGCCTTAGCCTCAGATACTGTAGCAGCCTCATCTGCCCTCTGGAGTGGCCCTCCCTTTAATGCTGGCTTCCACGTGGTGCCCCCGGCTCCTTGTTTGGTTTAATGGGGGCCCAACTGAACCTTCGGGACTTCCTGTCCCCTTGGTCAACAGCTTCTCACTTGGACCCTCTGGTCTTTTATTCCCGTTCCCTGGCTGCCCATTTGGGGCCACCTCTAGTTTCATTTTATGATTTTTTGCTTGAATTGTTCTGATTTTGACTTTGCGTTTGCCCTATATTGGAGTTGATTTTTTGTTAGTACTTTAGGTTGCTTTTTTTCTTTACTGTCCAAGAATCTATGTACACAACATGAGCTGTACAAGTGATCGGCTCCAGTTTGTTGTGTCAGGACTGACGTTGTGAAAACCGGTTTTGTTTTCAGTGGGTTATGTACAAGCAGCGCTGTAGTTGTCCAATGTATCTTCACACTGCTCTTTTGATTTTCGTCTTCTTTTTGTAAATGCAATGGTTTTTGTCTGCTGCGGTGCATTCAGTGTTCTGGCTTTTTTGCAACTCTTGGTAAATTTACAATGATCTGCAAATCTCACTCCAGGATGCGTTTGTTTTTGTGATCCTTACACACTGGTACAATACAACCGGACTCCCCAGTGAGTGAAACTTGTAAAAAGGCAGGGTTATAATGTTTGTGAGTCTTAACCTGTTGGCTAAAACAGTGGCTAGCCTGAGAAACAAATTCTCCATAATCATAAAACTGGAGCTCTGTTGAAAGAACCCATGAAGGAGAGGTCTTTTGCATCACATGCAGTGCATTCTAGTTGTTGTAGAACTTTCTGCTTTGGAGTGTCAGGGAAATATGCAAACTTTCTCTCAGCTGCCTCTGCCTGTAAGGCACAGATTTCGAAAATAATGGTACGTGTGTACTACAAAGGCGACCTAGGTTAGGAAATTGTCTCTGTTTCAGTGTTAGAAATTTTCCTTTAATGATGACACACACACACAGAGTAACTAATTAAATGTGACCAGTTTAATCTTGTTCATAACATTGAGCAGGGTTTTCCTCAAAACTGAGCAACCTGACTCTTGTGCAGAAGTGTGGTGAAGTGTGATGTGCGGTTTCATGTTGTGTTTACAACTTTGCTTTTCTTGTTTTTATCTATTTATTTGTTTATTTTTTGGGGAGGATCACCACCCCACCACAGCTGATTAAAGGAGTATTCTCCCGAGTTTAAAAAAGATTTATGGTAGAAAATCTGCAGTTTAAATCAGGCTGCTCTCCTCCTCCTGATGAAGATGAGTCATCTGTCACTCTGCTCCGTGGGCGTCTGAACAAACTGACTCGCTGCTGAAGCCAAAATAAAGTGAGAAAAAAGATTC